AATAATAAGTCAATAAGAACTTTCCTATACCACTTCATAGTTCTTCGTAGTGGATTAGAAAAAGAAGCCTTTTGGTCTGACAAATCAATACAGCCTTTTCCTTTGTTGTACATAATTACTGATTCTGGTTTTTGAGATGTCTTCTTATGTTTAATTATGTTTATCATTTTATTTATTGATTTGGTACTGCACATATAAATGTCTCTCTTGTCCATCCATTACATTACTATCATTTCTCAATGAAAACTGTTGAACTTTTTTTAATTTAGAATTAATAACTCCCTTAGAGTTTGATTTTCTATTTGACCTTAATGTCCCAATACAATATGTTTTTCGTTGTCCAAGTTGTTCTGCTAATTCTATACTAGTATACCAATTGTCGATAATAAGGGTCCTTCCAAAATCTAAATATGGATCTATCAATTTCATTACAACTTTAGATGATACACTTRTTTCCGGAGTAACTTCTTTTCCAGCATACACTTTCCGATTAATTGTGTAGTTAGGGGGCATACAAAGTTTAAATAACTTAATCCCATATTTGTGTCTTTTGTTTTTTAAATATTGCTTAAAGAATAGTCTACCTATGAATGGTATCATAGATTCATCAATACATAAAGTATCATGCGGAGACATACAATTATTGGAATTAACCATAATGTCTTCAACTATGGTTCCTAATTTATATAACCGATTTGTTTGATCACTGGTTTCATTATTAGAATAATGGATCATAGTTGATAATATTTGGAAYATATTTCTAACATTTCCAAAGTTTGTAGAAAATAGGGGGGAACTACTCCAGTACAAACCAACTTCAGGTAACTGAAYTAACCCCATCCATAATACAAGTCCCAACCAATTATGCATTTCTTCTACATCTGTATTTGTCCATTTATACATTCTGCTTTGACTTGAAAACATTATTGAACTTAATTTTTGTAAAGCATAATATATATTTGTATGTTCTACTAGTTTTTGAATAATATTATCATCGACGATTAATTTAAAAAAATCAAATGGTGAACCTTCTAATAATGTGTCTATTAAATCAGTGTTTAATCCTATTTCTTTTGAAATGAAARATGTAAAGAAGTGAGTGAAAAAACACAAAATATGACTCTTCGACAGTACAATAACATTTTTAATACATCCACTAATATCAGTTTTTTCAAACCCAAAAAAGACCTATGTGTTGCATGTGAAAAGTATAAAATTTCAACTCTTGAAGAGAAAGAATCACAGTAAATGTATTACAATGAACATCCATCAAATAAAGATATTGCTAGGCAAAAGAAAATTGATGATAAACAGCGTGGAATTAGTGAACCTAATTATTTGTGTGTCGCAGCCTTCGATTTGGAAAAGATTTTAACCACTCCACAAGGAGAGGAGAGCAACTTTTACTATAAAAGGAAGTTTGCTACATATAACTTTACCATCTTTGACATTGCAAAAAAATTAGGATATGTTTTATGTAGAATGAGTCTGAGGCCAAAAGGGGTGCCAATGAAATAGCCACTTGTTTGTTTAAATCCATGACGATGATGAAAAAAGATGGAGTAACGAATTTATTTTCTATTCCGATAATTGTGGAAGACAAAATCGGAACAGATTTTTATTTTCTATGTGGGAGTATACTGCTTTCACATTAAAGATTAAAATCGCTCATCGATTCCTCGAAAGAGGACATACTCAAAACGAGGGAGATTCCATGCATGCGTGTATTGAGAATTCCAAAAAAGGAAAAMCCATTTATGTTCCTGTTCAATGGATAACCTTGGTGAGGTGTGCCAAAGTCACTGGCAAACCATACCTAGTAACCGAAGTATCAAATGTAGATTTTTTAAACTTCAAGCCAATCATTGAAGATAAGTCATACAATTGGACTAAAACTGTTGATGGTTGCCAAATTCGATGGAACCGCATCAAAGAAATAATGGTCACCTATGATAAACCATTTATTCTTAGTATAAAATAAACCTGTCATCACCAGATTTTATTATAATAGATATAAAACAAAAAACAACAGGGCAGATATCAGTCTCGTTGTTTACCTGTACAAGCGTATACTGAAAAAATTGCAATTGATAAAGCAAAGTATAATGACTTGTTATCGTTATTGTGAAATGGGTCTTATTCCAACTACTTACCATGATTTTTACAAATCTCTAACTTCTAAGTAGTTATACCTACTTATTTTATGATCCTTTATTATTTTAAGTATTATTTTGAATGCAAATTGTGTTTATTTTATTTATTTTTACTTCATAATATAATTTATATCATTAAATTTTATTGAACTKTTAAACTAGCTGAACGTTATTATAATTTGAGTATTTTTTTCTTTTAAATCCTAGAAGGATTGGTTGATTTTATTTTGTTTTGCAAATTGTTATTAAGTTATTTTGTTAAATTTTGTAAAACTAATGAATATTATTATAATTCAAGTATTTGTTTGATTATAAAATAAGTTTATTTTATTTT